CGGGAGGCGGCAGGCGGTGGGGCGCTGCTGAAGCGTGAGTACTTCCAGGTGCTGGTGCGGATCCGGGCCGGGACTGAGAACGTGGCCCCCAAACCCAGCTTCTTGGCCATGCTCATGATGGAGGTTGACCAGTTTGTCCTCACCGCGCTCACGCCTGACATGCTTGCAGCTGAGGATGCAGAGTCACCAGCAGATCTGCTGCTCTTCAACATCACCTCGCCCTTTGGCCCTGGCCAGGGGCACATGGTCAGCACAGATGACCGGAGCTTGCCTGTCTCCTCCTTCAGCCAGCGGGATGTGAGGGAGCTGCGCATCGCCTACCAGCCACCCACGGAGGACTCAGATCGGGAGCGGCTCTTTGAGCTCGAGCTGGAAGTGTTGGACCCCGAGGGTGCTGCCTCAGAGCCCTTCGCCTTCGTGATTGTGGTGAAGCCAATGAACACCCTGGCACCTGTGGTGACCCGCAACACTGGCCTCGTGCTCTATGAGGGGCAGTCACGGCCTCTGTCAGGCCCCGGTCCAAGCCCCAACCTGGTGATCAGTGATGAGGATGACCTTGAGCAGGTGCGGGTCAGTGTGGTGGCAGGGCTGAGGCATGGCCACCTTACTTTGCTGGAGGACACCCCAGTACCTGCTGCCCCTCGTAAGCACTTCACAGTGGCTGAGCTGGCAGCAGGCCGGGTCATCTACCAGCATGACGGCAGTGAGTCTCCACTTAGTGACAACCTGGTGCTGCGGCTGGAAGATGGTGGCTCTCGCCACCGTGTTGAGTTCCTTTTCCCCATTACCCTGGTGCCCACTGATGACCAGCCACCCCTACTCAATGCTAACACAGGGCTGGCCATGGCTGAGGGTGAAACAGTGCCCATCACCACCCGTGCTCTTAGTGCCACTGACATTGACTCACAGGATGCCATCCTGCTTTTCACAGTGGAGTCTGGCCCCACTGCTGGGCAGCTCCTCCTCCGTCAAGCACAGCCACCTCCTGGCTGGGAAGAGGAGGAAGAAGAGGAAGGCTTCTCTTGGAGGAGGGTGCCAGGTTTAGCAGGGAGCTCCCTAATCTATGAAAAGCCAGTGAGAGAGTGGCTGCAGCAGGACATTGTGGAAGGGCGTCTCTATTACCACCACGTTGGGCCTCACAGCCCTGGACCTGGTATTGTGTTGGACCAGTTCGTCTTCAGAGTCCAGGATGACAATGACCCACCCAACCGCTCCGGACCACAGACTTTTGTCATCCGGGTGCATCCCGTAGACAGATTAGCCCCAGAGCTGCATAGCAGCAGCAGCCTGCACTTAGTAGTTGCAGAACAGCAGGTGACCCCACTGCGAAGGAAGCACTTGTGTTACACAGATCAGGATTCAGGGGACCGTGAACTCCGCTATACAATAACCCAGCCCCCCACTGACACGAACCACCCTCCAGAAGTATATGGAGCCCGCCTTGGATCCCTCGTGCTGACTGAGGATCACTCTGTGGAAGTTACCCACTTCACCCAAGCCCAGATCAATCATCACAAGATAGCGTACCGTCCCCCACAGGAAGAACTGGGGGTGGCTCCTCATTTGATTCAGTTTCAGTATCAAGTGCAAGATGCAGCTGGCAATGCAGCTGAGGGGACTTTCACCATCTACCTGCAGCCTGTGGACAACCAGCCTCCTGAAATCACTAATACTGGCTTCACTTTGCCTGAGGGAGGCAGCCATGTCCTTAGTCCAACTGAGCTGGATGCCAGTGACACAGACACTGAGCTTGCCCGTCTCAGATTCATCCTGACCCAGGCTCCTCGGTATGGCCAGTTGCAGCTTTCTGGGTACAGTTTGATTCCAGGAGCTGTCTTCGGCCTGGAGGATATCAGACAAGGGCGGGTGGTGTATGTGCACAGTGGAGCTGAAACCAACAGTGATACCTGCAGGCTTGATGTGAGTGATGGGGTTCATTTTGTGCCCATCACACTGAAAATGAATGTGCACCCAGTTGATGATGAGGTTCCTATGCTACGGTTACCCCCAGGCACTCTTGGTTCCTACCTGGATGTGCTGGAGAATGGGGCTGCTGAAATCACTGCTAATGTCATTCAGGGCACAGATGAGGATACAGATGACTTAATGTTGACCTTCATTGTAGAGGATCCTCCTCAGCATGGGAACATCCTGGTCCAAGGGGTGCCTGCAGAGAGATTTTCCCAGAGAGATGTGCTTGATGGTGCTGTGGTATATGCTCACACTGGTGGGGAAATAGGCCTTCTGCCCAAAGAAGATACCTTCAACCTTACCTTGTCTGACATGTCTGAGGAATGGAGCGTCAGGGGCAACGTTGTTCAAGGAGTATCAGTCTTGGTGACCATTCTTCCTGTTGACAGTCAAGCCCCAAAGATTTTTGTGGGGGAGCAGTTCATGGTAATGGAAAGTGACAAACGGGTCATTACTCCTGCTCACCTCAGGGCTGAAGATGTGGATACTCCTAATGATGATATACTCTGCACCATTGTTGCTCAGCCCACATCTGGCTATGTAGAGAACATTTCTCCAGCCCCAGGATCTGAAAAATCCAGAGCAGGTGTAGCTATAAGTGCTTTTACCTTGAAAGACCTCCGTCAAGGGCATATTTTTTATGTTCAAAGTATACATAAGGGTGTGGAGCCTGTTGAAGACAGATTTGCTTTCCGCTGTTCTGATGGTATTAACTTTTCCCAAAGGCACTTTTTCCCTATTGTCATTATGCCGATCAATGATGAAGAGCCTGAAATCTTTATACGAGAGTTTGTTGTGATGGAAGGCATGAGCCTGGTTATTGATACCCCTATCCTCAACGCAGCTGATGCAGACATCCCTGCTGATGAGTTAGTGTTCACAATCACCAGACTTCCCAGGCATGGCCACATTGTGAACCAGCTGGTCAATGGAACTGTCCTAGTGGAGAGCTTCACCTTGGATCAGATAACAGAGAGCTCCAACATACTCTATGAACATGATGACTCTGAGACAAAGGAGGACAGTTTTGAGGTGAAACTCACAGATGGTAAACATACCATTAGGAAAATGGTACTCATCATGGTTATTCCTGTAGATGATGAGACACCCAGAATGGCCATCAATGATGGTTTGGAGATTGAAATAGGGGAAACTAGAACTATTCATAACAGAATATTGAAGGCTACTGACCTGGATTCTGAAGACAAAACCTTGACATACATTATAAGATACGGGCCAGGACAAGGCCTCTTGCAGAGAATAAAGCCTTCAGGTGGAGTTGAGAATATTACCCTGGGGATGAACTTCACCCAAGATGAAGTGGATAGAAACTTAATTCAATATATGCATTTTGGCCAAGAAGGAGTTCGTGATCTTATCAAGTTTGATGTGACAGATGGAATAAATCCTCTCATTGACCGCTACTTTTATGTGACAATAGGTAGCATTGATATTGTCTTCCCAGATGTAATCAGCAAAGGAGTTTCTCTGAAGGAAGGAGGGAAGGTAACCCTTACTACTGATTTGCTTAGCACCAGTGACCTGAATAGTCCAGATGAGAACTTAGTTTTCACTATTACCAGAGCACCTGTTCGTGGTCATCTTGAATGCACAGATCAGCCTGGGGTACCCATCTCCACTTTTACTCAACTTCTGTTAGCAGGCAATAAAATCTACTACATTCACACTTCAGAAGATGAGGTGAAAATGGACAGCTTTGAATTTGAGGTGACTGATGGCTATAACCCTGTATTTCGTACTTTCAGAATTTCTATCAGTGATGTGGACAATAAGAAACCTGTCGTCACAATCCACAACCTGGTGGTGAGTGAAAATGAATACAAACTGATAACCCCATTTGAACTCACTGCAGAAGACAGAGATACACCCGACGCATTGCTAAAATTTATCCTCACTCAAATACCAGTTCATGGCCAGATCATGTTCAACAACTCCAAACCAGTCACCACCTTCACTAAACAAGATCTAAATGAAAATCTCATTAGCTACAAACACGATGGCACAGAATCAGTTGAGGATAGCTTCTCTTTCACTGTTACGGATGGCACTCATACAGATTTCTATGTCTTCCCCAACACTGTGTTTGAAACAAGGAGACCTCAGACAATGAAGATACGAATAATGGCTGTGGACAACAGTGTACCTCAAATTGTAATAAATAAGGGTGCTCAGACTCTCCGTATTCTAGCCACAGGTCACATCGGGTTTCTGATTACCAGCAAGGTGCTCAAAGTGGAAGACAGGGACAGTTTACATGCTACGCTCAAGATCAGAATCACAGAGGGTCCGCGCCATGGCTTCCTGATTCACCTGGGGAAAGGCAACCATAGCATCAGCCAGTTCACCCAAGGTATTACAATACTCCATGCTTTCTTGAGATCACTGGTGCTAACCACTATAATAATTGATCGGAGAAAATTTCTGACAGTGAGCTTATTTTAAATGGCTTTGTACTTTTTAGTTCTGTTTATTATTTATTGCATCTGTGACAGCTTTAAACAGGAAAGGGGGTCTGCTGGATAAACACTGAATAAAGGAGCATCTTTGCTTTGGAGAGCTTACAGTCCACATGACTGTGATTTGGACTTTCTATCAGTGATAGAAATTTGGATGACAGATTTGGCTGCACATGATTCCAGATCTTTAGAGGCAGAGTGCCGCCTTTAAACAGTTTTATTTAGAAAATGTTACAGGAGTGGCCAAGCTATTATTAACTAATGGTCATACCATGGCTGGGCTATCAGTTGCTATACAGTCTGAGTGCACTGAACTGTAAAAGCAAAATCATTTCCCAAACATGGGGAAATAACATATTATGAGGGCATTTGTTGCCTTAATTACACAAATCTTAACCACAAAGTGTTTGTGGTAAATTCAAAGGTAATGTAAATGTTTTAAAATTATGTCAGTGGTACTTACTTTTTACATGGAAGTAAAATACTAGATGGTATAAATAGGATGAAAACCACACGTGCTCTATGTTCTGAAATAAAGCCTCAACAGAAGGCTATGAAGTAACTTTAATTGAAAGGGGAGCATTAGCTATTCTCCAGAGAATTTTCCGTGTTACTTTGCAATGAGTTAATAGCTGGTTAATTAAAAATGAAATGAGGTTTCCTGGAGCCCCTTGCAGCTGTGAAGTGAGCAGACAGCACAATTGTATGGAGACTTAAAGTTAAAGGGGTCCAGACAGGCTGGGGTTTGGAGGTGGTAAGGCTGGAGATGAACACTTGTAGTTGTATTTCATTTCACAGAGCCCATACTGGTATGTTACAGTCTTGGCTGTAGCGATGTTCTTGTCAGATGCACCAAATCTTGAAAACAGGCCTGATGGACTTTTGAAGGGCTGTAGTGCCCTAAGTTTTGCAGTGTTAGCACAAAAAAGAGGATGAGGAGGGACCAAACTATGTCTAAGCTTTGGGAACCACATCATCTCCATAAATGTAAGACTTCACTAGTGAACTGGGAGTAGTATTAAGAGTGTGGTTGTCAGAATAAGTGAGAAACAGAAGAGAATACGAGTAAGCAAATAAACAGATTATCACGTTTTTAGTGGGTTTTCGATTACATTGGAGAATGTACAATTACTGAGTGGATGTTTCTTGAAAGCAGACGACTGCATAGCACATCCCATTTTTTCGAGGATGGAGGGCAGTCAGGATAGGTACATATTCCATTCTTTTTCGTGCCATGTGGCCAGGCGTGCATTTGTCAGGTGACCAAAATGTAGTTGTTACTTGGCCTGGCAATAATATACCTTGGTTGATGTCTCAGCAATCCATGTAGCCTCCTGAGGCCAAAGATATCTTCGTGGCTACTCACCCAAATATGCAGCATTTTGCAAGCAATGATTTTATTCAGCATTCAACCCTGATAATGCTTTTTATCTTCTTTTTCAGGCAAGTGTTTTCAGAGAGACAAGAGAATGATATTCTGAAGTACATTTGTTTCTTAAAGAATAGATATTAATATATGTAACCTTTAATAATCACATCCATTTTGCAGAATTTTAAATGGGAAATCAGTGCGCTGATCTAGTGGAGATAATTATTTTTTTTTAAATAGAAAATTTTGTGGGATGGATTTCAAACTTATGTTGAAGAATTCCAGTGTCACATTTATATTTAGCAGGCATTGTAGTTATACAGTAATGAATTGTGCTTACAACTAGGAAAGTTTTAATATAACCAAATCAACTGTGGAAGGAAAGCGTAGAATTGCTCAAATGACTCTGACCATGTTCTTAATGAACAGAAAACAGGTCATTCCTTTGCAATTCTTTTGACAAAATCGAGATGTTTGGATGACAAGTGGCTTTTTTGATGAGGTGGTCCTGGTCCTGCAAACACTGGCTCAAGTGCTTATCTTTATATATGTTGGAACCATGGATTTTGATAAAGGCTACCCACAAGGCCAGAGCTGAGTACTTGTGTAAGTGTTTGCAGGATGAAAGATTTATTTTCTCCACTGGCATGAAGAGGTATTTGTTTGCATCCTCTTTACAGCCCCATGAATTTTTGATCTTTAACTTTCAAACATTTATGGAAGAGATTCTTCAGTGACATATATGTGCTGACAAGGTTGTTAAGTTGTTTGCTGTAGAAGATGTCTGGCAACTTTTGGAACTGAGGATTTTGAGGAGCTCTGACAAAAGTGCTTTTGGATTCTTTTTACTAATGCCCTAATGTGGGAGGAGAACTTGGGTGGTACTTGAGCTCCACTTTAATGCTATTAATTTCTAACACTTGTTCTTAAAAAGGTGTCAGACATGGATTTTTAACAACAGCAGTCTTTCAAAGAAAGTGACGAAATTATTTTTTATGAATTACATGTTTCTCATCACTGCTTAAGGAAACCAGAAAACACAATATTAATAAATATTTGTTTACCTTTTACATGCTTGCTTTATTGCAACTGATGATTCAAAATTGTGCATTGAATTTTTTCTTACTTAATTCTTGTTTGTCTGCTTTAGTTGCACCTGTATGACTTCTTAGAACAGTCAGTCACTGTAAATGTTTATGCACTATTTAGGACAGTTTGTATAGATTATATGGCATATCGTGTGAAAACATGCTGATAGGAAGGATGGTCTGTTGAAGAGGGCATTTTTGTAGGGGACTAAAGTGATTGAGATCTCTCTACTGCAGAATGTGTAGAGATATCCTATCCTAGAGGTAGACCACATTCCAGAAGTAATCTAGTTCTAGAGGTGGGGGTGGGAGGGTTGTATGGACTAATTTGTCTTGCCTCTTGAATGGAGGGTAGAACTTAACATAGAAAATACCCTGGGTTTTGGTCCCATCTCAGCCACAGATTTTCTGTGACTTCTACAGTACTTCTCAGGATGAAGAATGACAGAATCAAAATCTTAGTAGAGATTCACCTTTGTTTACGAAAATGCACCACTAAAAATATGAAATCTTTCTGACTGTTGAGCCCATGTTTTTACATTTCCTTTCTGTTCTTTTTGTAACTACGTCTTAAAAGAAAGAAGGCACTGGGGAGGGTAAGTAAAGGGAGGGAGAACCTCAGTGCTGTTAATACTGAAATTCCTGAGCTCTGCTGTAGAACCTTGACCTCTCTCTGTTGAAGCTAAACTATTTAATACATGTCAAGTTTTCCTGTAAAAACAGTTTTCTACCTTCAGCATTTAAAACAAAATCTATTTTTCCTGACTATTTCCAGCTGATATTGATGATATGAAGATATGCTATGTTTTACGAGGGGGTGACAATGCCACCAGTGACATTTTTCATTTCATGGTTGAAGATGGTGGTAAGTACTCATTATATCTGTGCTTTTGTTGTTCTTGAAAGAGAAGGAGTTTAAGTGTACTTCGGGAGTTTAAGAGCATTAACTTTAATTGAAGGAAGTCCGTGTTATCTCCTGGAATATGATTTTTGTTATGACTTTCCCATATTATGGACTATTTCTGGTGATTACAAAGCGAGATGTTGATATGGTAATTGCATCTAATGAACAAACATTACTCTAGCAAGAAAGTGAAATTCTCTAAGTCTACTCAGATACCTGGTCTTTCTGTAGTTTTACCTTTGTATTCCCTGTCCAGGCTCTTTGCACATAAATTCTCACAAGACTTTCATCTTGAGAAATGTTTTAAATTTTGATTTACAATTATGGTTGCCTACCTCTTTAAAGGTTCCAGTTATAAGACTATTTATATGGACGCATTGTCTCTGATGTACATGTTGCATAGAGTTCAAGTTCTGATTCTACCTCCTTAACATAACAGAATCCTCAATGGCTTGTCAAAGATCTCTGTTGGGTGACTGATGTCAATTCTCTTAATTAATATGATTTTATAGGACTGTGGAGGATGCAAAAGGAAAAAATAAAAACAAATTGAGAATACTGGCATATACTTGCTTGAGGAAAAAAATATGTACTTGTTTTTTTGTTTGTTTGTTTTTAAAGAACAAAGAAAGAACAGTTTAAGGGGTAAAAAAAACCCAAACAACCAAACATTAACAGGCCTTTTTTTGTCCTATCTAAATGTCTGTACTTAATGTGGATATTCCTAAATGTAGATATTCCTGTGTGTGGTAGCATGTGGCTAGATTATGTTACTTTAATACCTTTTTTAATATGTGGTATATAGCTCTATGAGTAATTGGCAATGGATTTTATTAGTTGATTTAATAATATACTTCGGAAAAAATGCTTCAAGTTAGCTTATTTTCAGCTCATGTGTACTCAGCTTGTGTTACTGCTTCACAAGAAGCACAGCCAATTAATGGTATTAAGATCAGCGAACAGGGATTTGTCCTGTCTGGCATAGATTGAACAGTTTTGTCACCGTCTTTCATTGCTGGGAGTGGGATATTAAAGTATGCTCTCCTGTTCGTTGTGCTGGACAAGCACAGAAGAGACAGTACCTCTAGAGACTTTTGAAAATGTCTTTGCAAATCTTTGCTGTATCAGAGAACAAGTAGCGAGATGAGAGTTTGTAACACTTGACTTCTTTTCCTTATATCTTTTCTTTTAACTGAGATAAAGGTTAGAGAAATTTAAAGCTAAGTAAAGATAATGGAGCTATATTTTCTTAGTAATAGCATTATTTTCTTGTGACAGGTGTCACCACATGGTGACATTGTTCATGATTTTCAAGTTGTTCTTCTGGTAGGTGAACAAATACTCAGTCCTGAGATACTTGAAGATTTCATATGATGGGAGTAACTAAAGCTGGAGAAAGTTTACTCTCAGCGAACTGATTAACATCAGTTCTTAAAACTGAGTTGCTCCTTGAGAATCCAACGTTTGTGAGACTTCCCTCCACGCTATTTGAACACTTTCTAGTGGGAAATGTGTAGTTAAAGCAAATTGCACTTAATATATTCTGACTCTATACCAAGAATTTTTCTTTCATTGGAAAGCTGGCCTGCCACATCTGCTTCTACTTGGCAGCCTGTCAATTGTAGCAGCATGCTATTTTTCATAATACAAAGAATCATTATGGTAACAAGGTGCTTGCTGATTTTTTAGAGGCTTTGGAACTTGTGACAACGTTATCATCTTGCAGACTACTTAGCTAGATGGTAAGATAGTCTTTGCCTTCCTGAGGCTATTTGTTGACACAGTGAAAAATGAGCTGTATTGTATTTTGGAATACTTCTGATTTTCTGCTTGAATGAAGATGGTAAAACTGTATTTAAAAGAGATGAAGTTGTGATTAAAACATTAATATTTGTCTGTCTAAAATAACTCAAATTTATTAGCAGTGTCTTCAGAATCTGTAGTGGGGTAAAAAATACAGCAATTTAATCTAGCTATATTTCTGCCCTCTTCAGAAAGACATCAAAGCTAGTGTTTTGCAGCTCAGGTACATTTTGGCAGAATTTCAGTTGTACCAAGACTATTGTTTTAGTGGTTTTGATTTTAAGCCAGATCATTCTAGGAGACTAAACACAAGATCTGAGTGAAAGATGCACAGTACAACATCCGCAGTAGAATGGCATGCTTCAGACTGCTGTCTCCTGTATCAGGAATTTTGCAGTAGTAACAAGTTTGTGATGGCTACCACACAGTGCCGAATGCTGTAAATTAAATAAATGGGATTTTACTTAAGCTGAATTGTGCCATAGTCCATAAGTGATCCAGTTGAAATCAGAAGGGGTTTCAAAATGTGATTCAGTGAATGAATATTTGCTCCTATTATTCAGCTACTGTTAATTTGAATAAGTAAAAAAAAAAAAAAAAAAAAAAAAGAAGGAAAATCTTGTGACCCAAGTATTTTATATCTTCCAGTCCTCTCATGCCTCAGCGAGGGGAACCTACAGCACTAATCCCATCTCTCTTCAAATAACATGAATTAGAAAGTTGATTTTGCCCCATACCTGTAGTGTTGCCTGTAAAATACTCTTATGTGTGTCTTGGAATATTTGTTCATAGTCTATGAACTGCAAATAGGAGAAGAAAAGCATGACTTTCTCTTGCTCCATCTTTTGATGGTTGATCTGCCCCACTCATTACACTGTGACTTAATAGAACAAATGCAGAAGCTTTTTTGTCAGCCTCTGACGTGATGATATTCTGGGGCCCGAGTCTGTTATCTCAGGCAACTGCATGGAGGCCAAGTATAAGAAGTCGTCAGACTGCATTGGTGTGAATTTAGTTGTGGATCCAGAATTTTGTTTATCCTCTTACACATGGCTAGCATTTGTGGTATGCAAGTTAGGGCAACAGCAGACTAGGTGGGAAGTGAGGGGAAAAGAGCCAAGTCAGCACTTTGCCAGCTCTTGGCCCTTTGCCTGCTCTGTTTCTTCCAGCAGGAGCAAGGTGAGTGCCATGCTATGTACCACATCGTGACTCAGGGTCTGAAAGAGTGAAATATGGTACTGGGACAAACTTCACTTGTTGGCTGAACGAGAAACCTGCATCCTACAGTTAGCCAAGAGCATAGACCTGCTGTATTCAAACCAAAATTAGAGGTTTCACCAGAAAGAGCTGGTTGAAAGCTCTGAAAGAGTCTTACTGTCAGCATCAGTTACTTGCATATATATGGCTGTAGCGCTTTTCTGGCTTTAAATGACATATTTCATAAGAGTAATTAAAAAGTTAAATAAATTGAACACAATTCAGCTATTTATCAGCACTAATATTTCTAAAAGTAGAAAAGGTTTTAATTCTTCCTGCTTAGGGATTTAGCCTCAAGATGGTCTGCTATAAAATGAGCGAGCCCTTGCATTTCTGTCCTACTTAGAACAAGAAGACAATGTAGGCTATTGGATGCTGCTGACTTAACTGTGTGGTGTTTTGAAAGCAGCTACCGTAGTTCATAATAAGAATTTGCTTTCTGTTTTGTTTTGGATTTTTAATTTAAAATGATCATGTGGAGATCTGTTGATAATGAAAAAGTGTTATGAGTCCGCTTTAGCAAAACCTTGAAGAAAGTAAGGCATTTTGTTTTTCACAAAGGTTGCAAATTAGTCTCAGTTGAATCTCTTTCCTCAGCAGTGGCCTCCACATTCCATTAACAAGGTGGAGAAAAAACTCTTCCTCCAAGTGCAAGCCTGTGACAGTGGTGAACCCTGATGTTTATATTATTAAATTCTTAATTCAATGATTGGTAAAGGCACTGATGCTAGCAGAAGGCAGGGAAGACAGGATTCTTTTTCCTGTGGGGTGATAACAAAATGGAAATCTAGAGTGGTAGTTGAAGTCCTGGATGTGTTTGTGGTATGTAAATTTGCACACTACTGAGAGACTCACTAGACTGAAGAAAAAGATCCAGCTGAAAACACCTTAGCCTGTTAATTAGTGAAAAACAGACTCACAGAGTAACTTAAATCTGATAGCCTTAGTGAGAAAGTGCAGTGTCTGCAGCAACTTCATAGTACTGAAAGCTTGGGGAAACTGGATATGTACGGCACTGCCCAATATATGCATGGAGTCGGTGCTTCAGCTATGCAAAATGGCAGTAATCCCTATGGAATGAAAGTTAACACAGAAATTAGCTCCAGTGTGTTCAGCTCTTGTGCCAGTTTCAGACAACTGCACACTACAATTTCACACTACATCCCTTGTGAGTTGTCTGAGGCATTTTCACTCCTTACATGAGAAACGAGCACTGGGAATGCGAAGTTAAAACTTAAGTCCATCATTTACCTTCAATTTATGTCCTTCTTGTCCGTTTTTTTAATTTCACTGTAGTAAGTCATAACAATTGAAAAAGAATATGGATCTAAATGTCCACCTATCCAATCTGTAGAAGATATTTTCTCATTAAATGTGCAGTTTCAAATAATGTGAAACTGGTTGAACTGGTTTAAGGCAAATTTTTGCCCAGATTCTGCTGATTGCGTGTAATAAAAAAAAACCCAAAACATACCCCAAAGCTGGCACTAAACTCAAACCCCAGCTCAGACTCCATACCTCCAGAGGCAATATCGGTCAAATACATTCCTTTGCCCAGCAATGGGTATTGGGGTCTGGAGTAGCAGTACTGCAGCAGTACGTTGAATGCCAGTTGAAGAGCAGAGCTTCTCTGTAAAGGACTATTGTTGTCTTCATTTTTGCTTCACATAATAAATATTCTTTATTCTACTTAAGTCTTATGGTTAACTCTGAAACATTCACGTTCAGACCATGTAAAATCAGTGAAGGAATGTTCATCTCTTCTAAATAGTGATATTTTTAAAATATGACCTTGTTCTTGACATGCTTGTTGCTTGGCTGGTGCTCTCATCACAGTAGTCTGCCTTGCTTGCTCCTCCTTCTACCCTGTCTGTCTTCTGAAGCTTGGGGAACGGTCAGCC